TTCCACCAAGTTTCTGTGGGCATGTCTACACTTACCTCCGGAGCAATCAATCCACCGGGGTTCAATTTATCGCGTCTAGTGAAGACGCAATAAATCGACTGCCGAGTGCTCTCCCGTTGACTTTGGTACTCCACCAGAGTGAGAAGCGTAGGCGGAGTCGACGGGGGAGCAGCAGCAGTTGACCTACCACAGTGAAGACACCTCAGTAAGTAGCATACCCAGCTATTTATGTTTCTAATGATTGAGTTGCCCATTACTAATACTGTCTCTTCCTAATTGGAATTCCCTCCCCTGGAAAGGTATCCTCAGTGCGAGAGGAAACCACAACATCATCTGGAAGGAAGGTCCCAACTTTGGGATCATTTCCTTCTGCTCCAGTTAGATGTTCTCCTTCCCTGAGACTTTCCATCCTCCTCAACAGCACAGAGGCTGTCAGATCGGGGGTGGGACCATTGTACTGTGTCCCAGAAAGTCTCATCTGTGTGCCTCTCTGTCTCCCTTAGCTCCTCCAGCTCAACTCTTCTGGTCTCCAACACCCGTACATGGTCTCTGAGGGCCAGGAGCTCCTTGCACTGAATGCATACATATGCCACCTGCCCATAGGGCAGGTAATAATATATGCTGCATTGGGTGCAATAAACTGGATAGTTCCCTCAGTGTTGCTGGACTTCTGCTTGCATTCTCTTTTTTACTCCTGAAGCTCGTTCCTTTGTTGTTGTTTTGTTTTTATCGGGGGGTGTTTATCAGGGGGTCTACAGGGGATTTGTTTTTATCAGGGAGCTTTAAGTTTAAAGAATGGTGTATCTAGCACCCTCCCCCCCAACACACACATACTCCCCCTGTGAACTCCCTTGTAAAACTCCCATTAGCCGCTCCTGTTCCCCAACTTCTCTGGCCGCTTCTGGCTTTTTAAAGCTCTGGTATTCCTGAGTAGCCCTACCCCCTGGTTAAGGGTTGATGGTGCTAAAGGGCTTAGGAATCAAAGCCTCATTAAGAAGCTCTCAGCCTTGCCTAGCAGGCTCCTAGGCTCAGCACACACATGGTCAGCACATGGTTTCCCCAAACAGACCACATGGTATATTTCAGTCAAGCAGCAAGCACACCACAAACACACACACAACAAACTTACCCCAAGGGTCATGTAATCGCTCCTCCTTCATCTGGAGAACTCCCTCGCAAAACTCCTGTTAGCTGTTCCTGTTCGCTAGCTCCTCTGGTCACTTAGGAGCAAACTTTCTCATGCTGACATTAGTTAAGCTCTGGAACAGGCTTCCAAGGGAGGTGGTGGAATCCCCGTCATTGGAAGTTTTTTAAGGACAAGTTGGTAAAACATCTGTCAGGGATGATCTACGTTTACTTGGTCCTGCCTCAGCGCAGGGGCCTGGATGTGGTGACCTCTCGAGATCCAGCCCTACGTTTCTGTGAGTCTGTGGTATTGGCACAGGTGTCCCTACTGTCAGCAAGCAAGAGCGGGGCTGTAGTTTCCAGCCCCTGCCTCAGCATGGGCAGGCAGAGAATTGGGCCAAGGGCTCTACCCAGCTGGAGCCACAGTCCCCCACCCTCCCTTCCATGCCTTTCTCAGCACATCGAGCAGAGGAGCCCTTGTGCCCCTCACCCAGCCTGTGGTGGGGCAATGGAGAGGAGACTGGCTGGGGTGCGGGGCACAAGGGCTCCTCTGCTCAATGTGCTGGGGGAGGGGCTGTCCCCCCAGCACAGGTTTGCTGCTCCCTGCCCACTTGCAGAGCCAGCACCCAAAACAGGGGGCCATGGTCTCTGATGCAGGGGCAGAGCCTGGAGCCAGCTGCCCATGCAGAGAGGAACAGTTGTACCTTGAACCCCTGCCAGAGCAGCAGGCATGACCTGAGGGCTTGCAGGCCGTGCTCCTCCCGTGTATCCTTTCTGCCCATTCCAGCTGCAGCAACTGGCACACATTGCAGTTTTAGGCTGAGGCCAGTAGGGGGGCCTTGCTGGCCTTCACACGGCACTTGAGCAGTGGAAACATCTATTCCTGGGGGAATTCTGCACCACTGCGCAATGCAGCATTTGCACAGAATTAATGTTCTGTGCAGAATTTTCCTTTGTGCCTGCAGAATTGGCGCTGCTAGCTGCCCGTAGGGGCCACTGGACTTCGCAGAGCCCAGCTCCCAAATAGAAGATGCTGCTGGGGGGAGGGGGTCAAAGCTGGAGTCATCCCAGCAGCTGCAGTTCCCAGCATGCCCTGAAGGAAAAACGTAGGGTAACCAGACGTCCTGATATTTCGGTGTCTGTCCCACGTCCCAACCGATCTTTGGTCAGGACACATTTTGTCCTGATATCCACTGGCAGCACTGTTTTTTTTTTTTTTTTTTTTTTCGTGGGGGGGGGGCCCCCCCCCCCCCATGTGTCCCAATATTTTCTTCCCCTCATCTGGTCACCCTAGAAAGAGGTGGCATGCAGGAAATTCCATACAAGCCCTGGACCCAGCATCCGGTTGTTTCTCCCTCTGGGGGGTAGGAAGTGTGGGTGTCTAGGCTGGGGGGGCATGGCTGGGCTGTGCAGAGGAAGGGGTGTGGGTGCCTGGACTGGGGGGCACCTCGCAGCTGAGCTCTGGAGGGAGGGGATGTGGGTGTCTGTCCTCCCCAGCTGGGGCAGGGAGAGAGAAGAGGAATTGGGTTGTTGTAGGGGTTTCTTTAACTCTCTACCCCTGGAGGAAGTTCATTTGTTGTCTGTATTGTTACAGATATAGTTGCTGACAGGTATTTTGAACTAAATTATCAAAATAGTTGACATTGATGTGAGTACATTGTGTTATTGTTACAAAATATGCAGAATTTTAAAATATTCTGCACAGAACTTTTAAATTTTTGGTGCAGCATTCCCCCAAGAGTAAACATCCCTGTTCCTGCCTGCAGGGACCCCCGGCTCCAGCACAGTGACACGGCCCAGCAGCTAGGAAGGCAAAGCTGGTGCCTACAGCCACCCAGGGAGGGCAATGAAGGGGACAGCCCTTCCTGCCCAGCTCCCCGGCTTGATCCCACCCAGCCCTTGCTGCCATGGCCTGAGTGTTCTGCACCTACAACAGCTGGGTCGGAGGCAGCTGGAGCCCTGGCAGAGGCACCCTCTTGCCCTGGTGAATGTGGCCCCAACCCTCTATGTGTGCACACACAAACGCACACACCCAATAGCAGGTGTAGCCGGTGTCCTTTATTGCTGGTGTTGGCAGTGGGCAGGATGCCCTGGCGTGCATACATAGGTACCATGCTGACTCCCAACCTGGCATGGGCATTTCCTTAACACACACAATAAGTAACCATCCCCAACTCCCCATGGCTGGGAGTGCCAGGCAACGGGGGGGAATGGCTGGACCATGCAGCCTCCTCCCCAGACAGGGCACCCCAAGCAAAGCTGCTTCTATAACATGGTGGCACTCCGCTGTGACCCTCTTCTTCAGTCCCAGCCTCATCCATGGCAGGAGAAACTGCAGCCCTCCCTTCACATTCACGTGGGTTCCCTTTGGGTGAAGGGCCACCGCCCCCAAACTCTGGGCACTTTTCCTCCCTGCCCGAGCAACTCAGAAGGGGGCTACTGGGCCTTGGGCTTTGAGAGGGGATGGGGTGAATTTCTATTGGAGCCTGGAGTGAGGGGAAGAGTGAGTGTCATGGTTTTAACCCCTTCCCTCTGCATGGTTTTACCCCTTCCCTAGGCTTTTCCCCCCTATAACTGAATATTTGATAAAAAATTGTGAAAATCTATACGTTAAATACCCACACGGAGCAGCCAGTCTTCACGAACATGCGCACACACACACACACAAACCACATTCCTACACCACACACATCCCACCTCCAAAGATGTACACACAAACACCCCACTACACACAAACATACACACACATCCCACTCACAAACCACCCCCCCAAAACATGCACACGCACCACATACAAACATGTTCCTACACCACACACAAACGGCCATCCCCCACCTCCTCAAATGTACACACAAACCACACCCCTATGCCCTCCCACACACAAACATACACACACACACACGCAAACATATACACAAACTACACCCACCTGACACCACACACACATCCAAATATGTACACACACACGCACCCTACACTGCACACCCACCCAAACATGTACACCCCCCCACACACACACCATACATACACAAGCAAGAAATATAAAGCTGGCCTCTCCAGTACCGGGCTCCCTGGAGTGTGGTTGTGTGGGGGGATTGGGTGCATTTCCATGAGGCCCTGCAGTGAGCACCCTGAGGGAGCTGTGCCCAGGCGCCTGGCACACTGAAATCAGCGCTGCAGGCGCGGGCTCTGCAAGGCACAGCAGCATCGGATATCCCAGCAGTACCCAGGACAATGCCAGAGCTGGCCTGGGTGCAAGAGGGCAATTGATGCCTTGAGCTTAGCTTGGGGCCAGTCTGCCCATGTGTTGCCCTTTCATGGGATCCATTTGGGGAAAGGCACAGCTAGGGAATCACCTCCCGCTCCCCACCAGCCCTGAGCACCACCCCGCCCCCCAGCAGGGCCCCAGCTTGGAGCTCCAAGGAGGCGGCACTGCACGGAAGCCAGGGTCCTTGGTGCAGCCTGTGCACTAGTTTCCCCTACTCTGTAATGCAGAAGGTGGAGGTGACAGCCAGTGAGCTGAGGCCTCCAGATCACATCCAGGGCTGTGCCTGCTGCTGCTCAGTCAAGAGTGCATGGGAGGCCTCCCTGCCAGGCCTGGCCTAAACAGCAGGCACAGGGAAAGCCCAGGCTGGAAAGAGCTGGGGGCTTGGCAGCCAACCCCAGGCCCTGGATTCTCAGTGTCAGCCGGCACCAGGGTGGGGCAGAGACTGGGAGACCAAAGATGCCCATGAGAAGCAGCAACAAAGAACTCCAGGCCCCAATCGCTTGCTCATGCTGGTCTGTCCACGTGCCATGGGATCCCAGGGCTGCAGCCCATTCTCCCCTAGGGTGACCAGACAGCAAATGTGAAAAATTAGGACAGGGAGTGGGGGCGTAATAGGAGACTATATAAGTAAAAGACCCAAAAATTGGGACTGTCCCTATAACATCAGGACATCTGGTCACCTAGTCTCCCCTCACTGTTCCACCAAGAGCTGCAGCCGAGTAGGATTGGAGGCAGCAGCCAGGCTGGGGGAGGATGTAAACATGGCATCAAGATACTAACTAATGCCATGGCAAGCTGAGAGTGAGGTGCCATGACTGGCACAGCCCCTCCTCCTCCCTGGCAGGGTGCAGTGGATTGTGGCTTCTGTGTGAAGCAGCCCCGGAGCAGAGCACACATGATGGAGGTCAGAGACCCTTATTGATATTCTAACACTATGCAGGGGGGATGCCTCGCCTGGGATGGTGGGAGGCCAGGAACAGGCCTTAGCCCTGGCCCAAGGCTGCCCCCCACCCAAGTGGCACACAGGGTGGCACTTAGTAGCAAAACACTGACTGCGAGGCCAGTCCCACAGCAGACCAGACTGAGCCCACTGCAGCTAGAGCCCCGGGGCAGCCCTGACACCCATCTTCCTGAGACCCATGTCAAACTCCCACCTGCCAGGAAGGCTCCACTTGGGATACCAAAAGGGGCATCAAAACTCACCACCCTTGGGGGCTGGGAGGGCTGTTACCCCCTGAAGGCTCCCTGCTGACCAGAAATACATGCCACGGGAGGGATAGGTACATGGTGCTCCTGACCCGCCCCCTGTGCCATGCCCAGGGCCTGGCACTACCTTCCTGACTAGCCTGCATGAAGCACCATATTGGCACAGCTGCTACGGCCTGGAAAGCCCACTGCCAGGGTCACACAAGCAGTGCCCACAAACTTCTGCTCCAGCCCAGCCAGGGGACAGGCTCAGGCTCACAGGCTCATTCTTTGGCTTCTGAAATGCAGAGGCAAGGAGAAGGCTCAGGAGGGAGCCGCTCCCCCTGCCCTGTGTGCTCCCTTCACATGGTATTGCCCCAGGGCAGAGAGCCAGGCCAAGGGAACGCCAGGATCCAGGCTCCTCCCAGCCTGTCACACAGGACTATGATGCTGCCCTGTAGCCAGACAGAGCTACTATGTCACCCACGGTAGGCTGAGAGTGACAAACACTGCAGCAGTGAGTGACCCTGAGTGCAGCCCCATGGCTGGCTCAGCCCCTCATCCATACTCCAGCCCCAGAGCCCCAACCTCAGTGAGCTGCCACACAGTGGCCTGGTGGAGCACTGCCCTGGTGTCTCCAAGCTCCCATCCCTGCTGTGCAAATCAAAAGGCTGCGAGAGCCAAGTGCTACACAAATTTGGTCACTCTCCAAATGGCTTTGGCTCAGTCTCTGAGTTCCTATTAATACTGGGAGCTTGGCGGCCACACCTGGGTGCGTGCCCCTGGGAGCTCGGCGGCCACACCCCGGCGTGCACTGTGTTGGTCTCTCCAGAGCTCCAAGCCCAGAGGGCAGAGTGTGCTGGAGCCCACGAGAGCGCATGAGAACACCTCCTGTACACTGTACCTGCTGCTCAGGGCCCGTTCCTGGGCAGGTTGCTGTATTAAGGCTGACGGCATGAGTCATGGCCTGCTACAGGGCTGGGCCAGGCTCCTGAGCGTGGAGCCTAAAATTCTTTAGCTGAAGCCCCACCATCTGGTGCCTGGCACCTCCCTGCTGGTGTCAAGGCCCCAGGCTGTGCCCAGCTCCCACCACATGGCTCGTGTTTTGGTGACACTGGAGCCCGGCGGGGGATGTGGATGGTCCCAGGGAGCATAGGGGCAGGGGGAGCCAGGCACTGTGGTGGAGCAGCCAGGCCACTCACAGGCACACGTTGATCTGCTTGGAGAGCTCTCGCTCCAGGTCCAAGATGAGGGCATCGAAGTCCTTCAGGTTCAGGCGGGGGCTGAAGGGCGCATCAGGGTCGTCAACCAGGGCAAAGTCCCCCACGAAGACCGTCTGGTTGGGGCCGCCCAGCCCCTCCCGCAGGTCCAGCACCTCATTCTCGCTCTCGCTGCCGGCCACCTCGGCGTAGCTGACCTCGTGCCCCGGCCCGGCCACCAGCCCATACTCCTGGCTGCACACACTCCACTCCCCAGCGTAGCGGTTGGTGGGGGGGCTCTCCAGGCCTCGGGGCCGGTGACGAGCCACCACCTCGCTCTCCAGCAGATCCAGCCGCAGTGCAGGACAGCGCCTCTGCCGCAGGCAGGTGGACTGGGCCCTTTCCCGGCCCGCCACGCCACGCCCTTTCCTGTAGGGGGCTGGGGAGACAGATCGCAGTTACCGCAATGCTCTCCTCCCACAGCCAGACAGGCCAATCAGGGGCTTCAATCCCAAGGGGAGACGCCCCGGCGGCACGCTCGCCCCCCACCCTGCAGCAGTCCTGTGGCCACACACTCCCTCCCCTCAGCTGCACTTACCAGGCCAGGCCTGCAGCAGATAGTGCAGCACCTCAATGTGCCTCTTGAAGTCGACAGCACTGGAGATCTCCTCGCAGTGGGCGTAGCTGCGGGCCCTCTGGCGCCATGGCTCCTGATTCTGGTTGAGCAACACTGGCCCGAAGCATACGGCAATGTTCTGGGAGTTCATGCGGTTAAAGTCGTGGAAGGAGGACACCAAGCTGAGATGGTCCAGCAGCACGGTCAGGGTAGCCTGGGGAGAGGGGAGCATCAGTCCAGGCCCTGCCCCTGCCCCACCCACCCAGTTTTGTGGGCTCAGGATCATCCCAGAAATCCCACGTTTTTGTACCTCAGAGGTCACAGCCTCAGTCTGTGCCCAGCTGCCAGGCTCCTTGGAGGGAAGGTACCTGACTCGGAGAAGCTGGGGGAAGGAGGGACGGCCTGACACTGAAGCCTAGGTGGCTGGAAGCTAAAGCCAGATAAATTCAAACGAGAAATCAGGCACAAATGTTTACCAGGGATGGGGATGAACCACTGGCCCAAACTCCAGGGAAAGTGGTGGATTCTCTGTCTCTTGATGGCTCCAAAGCCAGGCTGGGGCCGGGCTGGGAGATGCTTTAGCCAAGCACAAGTTACTGGGCTCAATACACAACATGGGGGTAACTGGGTGACACGTAAGGGCCAGTGCTGCCCAGGATGTCAGACTGGGTGATCTAATGGTCCTTCCTGGCCCTAAAATCGGTTAATCTATGAGAACTGTGATATTTCCTCTGATCTCACTGCGGTGAAACCCCTCAATCCCAAGGGGCAGCCAACCTGGAAAGCAGCCCAGGATCTTAAGCCCCAGCAGTGAGCAGCACTGGCTACATGCCTGAAGCTGTGCCAGAGGAGTGCCCAGCTCCCATGTATCCAGCGCTGTAACAGGCATGCGCAGCCCATGTGCGCAGCAGGGGCAGCGCTGGCTCCGTGCCAGTGGCAGTGCCAGGCGTGCCCAGCCCCCGTGTGTGCGGCAGGGGCAG